GGCTGGGGAGAGCGTCCTGCGGGGCTGGCCTCGTGAGTCCGGGACCTCTGTGCCTCCGAGGCTGCAGCGGCTGCCTCTTGGCATCCACGGGGCCGGCGGCCGGAGTGCTTGCCCCCCATTGTCTCCCCGGCACAGGCTTCCTGGACTGGGTCCCCAAGAAGATGCAGCGTGTGGGCTGCGTGGAGCTTCTCAACACCGTGCAGAGGCGTGTCCAGCCGCGGCTGCATGTCTTCGGCCATATCCATGAAGGTCGGTGCGTGGGCTGGGGGAGGCGCCCGTCCGCGCCACAGGCTCCTCACGGCCCTTCGGAGGGGCCACCTCGCCCCTCTGCCACTCAGTCACCTCCTCCCTGACCTAGTGGAGGGAAATAGCCTGTTTCTAACGCATGCTTTGTAAAACCTCATCCGTCCGTCGGCCGTCAGTTAGCTCTTACTGAAATGTATAATTATAGGGAGACGGATGCAAAGGCAGGCAAAACAAGGGGTCAGTCTTACTTTCCTGGAACCCTGAAACTCTGCAGTGCCTCCAGCGGGGAGTCTTCAGGAGATGGGCAGGGGATGTTTTGGAGGAGGGGACATTTGGACGTGATGTGGAGGACGCGTTAGATTTGGTGGACACACTGAGTTCCTCAAGGCCGGTGGCCCTGTCTTGTTGCTTCCATCCCCGTGGCCCAGCACACAGTAGGTGCTTGATGAATGTGAGGGCTGCTTGCCTGCCTGCCTGCGAGGCTCTCGTGCATCTCCCTCCCACCACCACACACCTGGGGCCGGCAGCCACACGGGCCCTCGATGGTGGCCCACATGGGCCACACGGACGTGGCATTCTGGCTTCTGTCCTGGGGGGCTGGGACCAATTGCTGTGACCACATGTTTGCTTTACCTTGAGAGACAGTGGGCAGGTTGGCTGGGATGGTGACAGGTGGCGTTGGCTCCAGTCCTGACCGCCCACCCTCCCACACCCTGGCCTGTCACTGCACGTGGGCTTTCCTTACTAGATCTCAGGCTTCCGCACCGGAGCCCGATTTCAAGTTAGGCGGACCCTCCCTTTTGTTCCCACCCAGCAAAGGTCCCCCCGTCCCATCCCACCTTCCAGGAAGCACTTGGGCTCCCGTGGGGCGTGGGGACACGTGGGTTGTCTCCTGGCCTCTTGAACCCCCGTCTGCCTTGGGCCAGGGCCGCTGGGCCTCACACGTGCCTCGTCCACATCAGACCGTTTTCCAGCTTAGAAGCAAACATGCCTCAGACCTTTCCCTGAGGGTCTCTGCATGGCGTTCTCAGGGGACAGGGGTGATCAGACCTCTCCTGTCCTGAGGAGCTCACAGACTGCTGGGCAGTAAGCGAGCCATCGAAGGCAGAATCTGAGAGGTCGTGGGACAGATGGACAACTCATATGCTCATGTCATTTTCTGTAGCCCTACTGTGGGCATGTAGTGCCATTAGGTCCAAGGTTGTATGTGATCCAAACCAAACCCCCGCATGATCGTATGGGCCAAATGGGGGCCCCGAAGAACCAGTAACCTGCACGGGGAGGAAAAGTGCCTCTTCCGGTTTGCAGGTGATTTGAGCTGAAAGATGGGGAGGATTCTAGCGAGCGGACGTGGCAGGAAGATGGTATAATGGGGGCAGAGGCAGAGCCAATGACGGTGATGACAGAGATGGTGCTGGTGATGATGGGGATGTCGATGACGTCACCGTATGCTTTCTAGGCACTGGGTTGAACAGGATACATGGGTTATTATCTCGTTTGGTCCTCACAGCAGGCTGGGGAAGAGCCTCTGTCATAATCCTAGAGACAAATCTTAGAGACAAATGAGAGTTTAGTAGCTGACATAGCCAGCCCATGTGGCTGACAGCCACTGGCCAGCACCCTCTGCCCCTCAGCCCTGACAGGCGTGTGCTTACTTTCCAGGGTATGGTGTCATGGCAGATGGGACGACCACCTACGTGAATGCGTCTGTGTGTACCGTGAACTACCAGCCCGTGAACCCACCCATAGTCATCGACCTCCCCACGCCCCGGAACTCCTGACTGTCCCTGCTGGCCCAGCCCCTCCTGCCCGCAGCGGCCGCGTACGCCTGGCCAAGAGCACGGACCCCGAGCCACCCTCCCTTTCACGCGGACGACCCATCTGGTCACGGGGACCAGCCCAGCAGATGAGTCGAGGCCTCGGAATGAAGAAAACCACCCCTGACTCTCCAGCCTGCTGTCTGTCACTTGGAGTCGGGACCCTGCGTGTCTCTGCCAGGGTTTCTGTGCTCCTTCCCGTTTCCTGCGTGTGCGTTCTGTCGGTACCTCGCTGAAGGACTGGCAGGCCCGCGGCCCCGCCCTGCTTGGGAAATGACCGAACCTTCATCCTGCTCAGTCGGACGCCCTTGTGGGTTTGGGAAGCTGCTGCTCTTGGACCGATTTTGGAAGTTCTTGCACAAAATCTCCCTCCAACCGAGGGCCCGTGTGGCTGCCAGCCCCAGGGATGGGGGAGGGGGGTTTCTAGTCTGGCACAGACAGCCCTTCCTCTCTCCCAGGCTGGAGAAGAGGCAGGCCTGCTTGGTGGCGGAGGCCCTCCGGAGGAGCGTTCGGGGACATCTCAGGAATTTGGACTGCACCTGGCCAACACGCTGCTGCCTGGTGCTGTCCCCGTTCTCTTCCTGTGGGCATCTTTGCTGACTTGAACAATGACCTGAGTATCCCAGGCACTCGCTTGGAGCCTGGACGCTTCGGGGGGGTGGTTCTACAGAAGGAGCCATTTGAGTCCCCAGGACTGGCTGAAGGGTTCTAAGTCATGGCTGACCCCATGGGGGCTGTGCTGCTCCGCAGAACTCAACAGCTTGGGGGTGCAAAGGCTGAGGCAACCCTGCCACACGTATTTGCCCATGTGGACGTGCACCCCACCCCCACATGCACACCCCTCTTAATTTAAGGAAGTGGATCCCGTGTTTCTCATTTCTGTCCTCAAATGGGGCTTCTGTCCGTTGGTGTGATTTCCCGTGTGCCATTCTACGGGGCATGCCCACAGTGGAGGAAGGCCGAATGGGTCACGGTCCTTGTTGCTCCAGTACCAGCCGGTCCCGTAATTGGGAGTGTGGCACAGTGGCAGAGTGGGCCCTGGGCTCTAGCAGCTCCACGTAGGGGACTTCTTTTTTAAATCGGGACTGGGGGGTTCGGGCTGAACCTCTGCAGGAGAGGGAACCAGCCGTGCCTGATTAAGGTGAGGCAGGATGGGCACGTGCCGGGTCGGATTCTGCTTTTATTTAAAATGTTGGCATTTTGTTCATCGTGGATTCTTTTTTTCTGCATTAATTTTGATTCAACCACATTATGTTAAGGTAATATCATTTATCATCATTACTGAGTTTTGGGGTACCCCCTTAGCCATGCACCTGAGAGAGGGCCCTACTCGCCTCACTCCCTGGGAACCAGCATTTAACGAGCCCCTTGCCGCTACAGTCTCGGTTTGTCCTCAGCCAGTCCTGCAAGGTGGGTACTACTGGCCTCATTTTAGAGATGAAGAGATTAAGATCAGAGAGGTGAAGGGACTTGCCTGAGGGTGCACAGCTCAAAAGGGGCGGAGTCGGGACTGGAGCCTCGGTCTCTGGCCTCACAGCCCCTACTCTACCATCACGCAGAGCTCCGCCCTGCAAGGCAGTGCATGGTCCAAGGCTCTCTCTTTAAATTTAAAGGTCCTGTTGGAACCTGTGCGGTTCTTTCCTCAGAGAGAGTCCCTGGAGGCCTGCGGGATCCTGTTCTGTGAGCCCAGCATCCCGGGGTCTGGAAGATGGTGATTCCCTTCCAGCTCGAGCCGGGCTGCCCGTGGGCCGAGGGGCACGGGTGAGAAGCCTGGCAGCGGCACAGCCTCGGCCGAGGCCAGCTTTGCTCTGTGGGGTGCTCGGCCGATGTGGCTCTTGGTGGCCGGCGATGTCTCTGAGGCCTCCGGGGAGGCCCCCGACACGAGGCGTGTGCACACGTGGGGTGCAGAAAACACAGTGCCCTTTCAGCTGCCTCTGCTACATCTCTATGTGGACCAAGATCTATAAACCTAAAAAAATGTTTTTCCTAAGGCATCTTCAGAACATGGTGTATTTTTATGTGGAAAAGAAAAGTTATGAAGGCAGCTGTTACTCCGAGAGAAAATTCATTAGAAGCCCTTGCGGTGTGAAAGATGGCGGCGTGCTCCCCAATCATTCTGGCACAACTTGATTGTGGCTGTAATTTTTTTGGTCAAGCATGTCAGACAATAAAGTCTTTGTAAAAAGGAAGAGAAGTCCGTGTGGCGCCTCTCCTCGGGTACGTCTGGGCGTCATGTAGGGCGCGTGGGTGAGGAGCGACACCCTTCCAGGCGAGCCCTGAGTCCCGGCACAGCTCCGAGGCCAAAGACCTGCCACGTATCAGCGACTGACATCCCCGGGGGAGGGGACATCTCGGAGGAGGTTGGCATGGGGAGTTCTGTGCCCTGTGGGGTTCGGATATCTCGACTGCCTGATGCCCCAGACAGAGTGCCTCCCGACCGCCTTAGCCCTGGCGTCTTCCTGGAAACAGCTTGTTCAACCTAGTGCACTCATCAAGCTAGGGGGCCGGGTGTGGCCCAAGAAAAATACTGGCAAGTATAATGACTCCAGCCTCAGAGCTCCCTAAACTGCAAAAATTCTGCCATTTTCATCCATCCATTGATTCATCAATTTACCCCCACTCACCTACCCATTGACTTATCCACCCTTCTATCCATCCACCCATTCATCCACTGATCCCTCCATCCACCCACCCACCCACTCACCTATCCACCCATCCATCCACTCACCCATCCACCCACACCCCCAT